ATGTGGGAACAATGCTTCATAACAATACTCATGTAATAATAATAACATAATAAATGAAACAAATGTACGTCATTGTAGTTTACTTTCATTAGTTGCTCATAAATGGTCAAGTAATGCTTTGTGAATGTTATTCAATATTCCTACATGTGTTATAAAGTCTTTAGGCAGCCTGAACATGGACAAAAGTAAATTCGATAGCTATAAAAACTCACAGCAGGCATGTTGAGGGTCTATCTTCAAGTCTTTTTTTCTCTCTCTGTCTCTCTCAGTGCTGTAGTGCTGATGAGTGGACGGATGTCTGACCCCTGAGAGTGCCACTCATTCGCTGTCAGCTTTCATTAGCTTGAAAGCAGGCTTGACAAAACAACAAGGTCGCGACGGTTTACCCAGCCATGTTAACTACACCCATAAAACATGAGTGGAAAAAACTGAAATCCATCCATTTTAGTGCATGACTCAGGCTCGCCCTAAACGACTCACGACTCGACTCATCGTCTCAAACATGAACAAAACTTTTAAATTAAGTTAAAGTTAAATTAATAAGGTAAATTATCAGACTTTAACCCCGGATTCTCAACACTTGACTCGGATTCTAACCCCAGTGACTCTTGACTGAGACTCTTATCCCTGTGACTCAAGACTTGATTCAGACTCCTGACTCTAATCCCAGAGACTCCTGACTCTAATCTCAGAGACTCTTGACTCTAACTCTAACCCTAGAGACTAGAGATTCAGACTCTAACCACAGAGACTAAAGATATGACTCAGACTCTAATCTCAGAGAATTGAGACTTGACTTGGACTGTAACATCAGTGACTCAACACTCACCTCAAATTCTAACCCCAGTGACTTGAGAGTCGACTCAGACTCTAACATCAGTGAATTAAGAATCCACTCAGACTCTAACCTCAGTGACTTCTGACTCTGAATGGAGTCTCAAGTCACTGGAGTTAAAGTGCAAGTTGAGTCAGTTGGGTTGTGACCTGACACTCAACTCAGACTATAACCCCAGTGACTTGAGACTCTACTCAGATTCTAACCCCTGTGACTCAAGATTCAACTCGGACTCTAGCTCCTGTGATTCAAGACTTAACTCAGACTCTAACCCCTGTGACTTGAGACTCAACTCAGACTCTAACCCCTGTGTCTCAAGACGCAACTTTAGCTTGAACCCCAGTGACTTGAGACTCAACTCGGACTCGAACCCCAGTGACTCTGACTAACACCAGAGACTTGGGACTTGACTTTGCCTCCCATTACTCGACTTGTGAACATCTCTGGATTGTGACATTCAGTAAAAATGAAACAGTCAAAGGGAAAAAAAACACACTGGAGAAGTAAGACAAGGTTTTGTGTTGTATCTAGGCCAATGAAAATAGGTTAATGACAGAACAACATTCTGAGCGGAACAAAATTCAGGCCAAGATATTAAATCATGGCTGGGAAAAAATTGTTCCAGCTTTAGTCAATAATTGTTTGGACGTTTGTTGTTGCATTTGTTCTTGTTCAAAAAGGTACACAACATTTTTCCTCCCTGTTATTGGCCTTTAGAAGCAGCGCAGCGGACATGCGTGGGCCTTTATGACTGTTAGTGTTTAAAATGTAAGAAGCACAGTTTACTCTTAATGAATTCACATGATCTTTGATAAACAAACGCGCTCTTTTCTGAATCCACAACAAAAGAAGCATCTTATCCCACTGTCACAGCTGTGTGAAGCCACCAGCAGAGCCTAAACCGAAATCCAATTCTAAACAACACGTTCAAATTTAATGATAAACACAGAGCCACGAGGCAGCCGTCTCCGAGAAAACGGACAAAAACAGACAGTAGGCTTCACATGAACGGCAAGGCCAACTACGATCTGGAAGGATTTCGCAGCATTGTTAGAGGGGATGAAGTGTGGTGGGGTTGAGACGGAGCCAGCCACCAATTAAAGTGGAAGTCTTAGCTGGGGATGTCACTCTACTCCAAGTTAGTTGGTTATTTATTTTAAAGCGATGTCAGTTATTGAGGAAAAGAGTTATAAAGCAAAGTGATCTTGGTGGAGTTGTGGAATATATGTAGGTTTAAAAGGGTCCGAATGAAGGTCAACACTTCAGAAATGACCAATTAATACGTTTTAAAAAGGCCCATATAATAGATAACCTGACTTCTCTATGTTGAAGTGCTGGGAAAAAGTATTTGCCCCCTTTTCCTTCCTCTAGTATTCCATATATGTCACAGTGAATGGTTTCAGATCTTTATCCAACATGCAAATCACCCATGTGAAAAAGTAATGGCCCCCTTGGCTACTCAAGCACTAAAGGAAGCAAATTAAATAGACAGTGAGATTCAGCTTATTGAACACAACTAGGCTTGAATGCAGTCAGCACTGTTCAGTGTAAACCTCACTCATGCTGAAGTGTTAAGTGATGTAGCAACCACAAGGTTTGTACAAGCACACTAGGCCATGATCAAAAGAAAATCCAGAAGAAATATACCCATCTGGAAAGGACTACAAAAATTTTTTTTAAGGCACTAGGATATCCGAACCACAGTGAGAGCCGTTATGCATAAACTGAAAACCCTAGGAATATTGGTGAATCTTCCATGGAGTGGCCAGCCTGCCAAAATTTTCCAGAGTGTGGAAAATCATTCCAGAAAGCCACCAAAGGTTAAAGGTGAACATCCAAAGAACTGCAGGTCTAGCCTCAGCTAAGGTGCGCATTCATGACTCAGGGTCAAGAAAGAGGCTGGGCAAAAGTGGCATTAATGAAAGAACAGTATGGCAGAAAACACTAACCAGTGCTCTTCTTACAGGTGCAAAAAAAAAAACACCCGGACAATCCCTAAGCCTTTTGGGATAATGTTATATGGACAAACCAGTCCAAAGTGTATCTGTTTGGACAACAGTTCCTTTATCTGTTGTAATCTGTTGTTCTGCATTTCACAATGGGAACAACAAAACATGGTGAAACATGGTGGTGGTAGTGTGACGGTCTGGGCAAGTTTTGCTGATTCAGAACCTGGAGAAATTATTATTATTGAAGGAATTATGAATTCTGTTCTGTACCAGAGAATTCTTAAGACAAGTGTTTGATCATCTGTCCATCATCTGTCCATGGCAAGTTTCTCTAGAAGAAGCATTTGCATTTTATTTTCCTGAAGTCAAGTTATAATATTTGTGTTGTTTAATGTACTAAAAACAGTCATAATTCATTTTCATCTCTTCTTAAGTGTAACAGCATTTTTATTACTATGTCTTTAAGGCTGATATTTGTAAATGACCTCTGTTCTGACTGGCTGGCCTCATTTAAAATGCAGTCCAGGATGAAACACACTTTATAACTTCAGTGTGTAAGTTTCCTTGGACTGTATGGACTGGAAAATGAACAGTATGTTCTGAAACTTTAACAGTTTTTCAGTACACATTACATTAGGCTTTTTTTATTTAAAAAATCAGAGATTTTTTTTTCAGGATTTTCCATGATATGGGCCCTTTAAGTTGTAAAATCATTTGTCATTGCAGACATTTATCAAACAACTGCTGTGACTGAATGATGGGATGCCAGGTTGTAAAAAGCATTCAGGAAATCATTTGATGTTTCATATGAGAAGTTATTTCACCAACTGTGCACATGTTATTTGGCTTCATGAGGACAAACAGTCAGACTATGACTAAGGAAAAGAGAAAAACTCAAAGACATCTGGACGATTTGGTTGCCAGATGGGATGTGTTAACACTCAGCTAAGCTATTTTCTGTATCATCCTGGGGTGGTGTATAGTAAATTAGAGTTCTGGGATGCTGGAATGAAGAGTTTTCCATCACAAGTTGTCTATTTTTGAATCACACTGTGGCAGTCTTTTAGAAATTAGGAGTGTGGGCTGCCAGATTGAAGGGTTTTCTATCACAAGTTGACTACATTTTAATCTTGTGGTAGTTTGAGTAAATCTGATTGCCTGGATGTCAGATCTTGTCTATTACAATATATCACACTACAGTTTTGGAATATAATAAGAACATGTATAATTAAATTTAATATTGTTATTGGGTTACCAGATTGCATGTTTTTCCAACACATGTTGCCTATAAATTACGTTGTGGTAGTCTTTCAGTAAATTGGAGTGTGGGTGGCCAGATAGAGTGTTTTCCATCACAAGTTGCCTATTTCACTCACACTATGATAGTCTTTTAATGAATTAGTGTGTAGGTTGCCAGATTAAAGGGTTTTCCATCACAAGGTGTTTATTTTTTTAATCACACTGTGGTAGTCTTTTAATAAATTGAAGTATGTGTTAGTAAATTGGAATGTGGGTTGCCAGATTGAGTGGTTTTCAATCACACGTTACCTATTTTTTTAATCACGCTGTGGTAGTCTTTCAGCAAATTGGAGTGTGGGTTGCCAAATTGAGTGGTTTTCCATCACAAGTTGCCTATTTTTTTAATCACAGTGTGGAAGTCTTAATAAATAGGAGGGTGGGTTGTCATATTGATGGGTTTCCCATCACAAGTTGCCTATTTTTTAATCACGCTGTGGCTTTTTTTTTTGTAAATTTGAGTCTTGGTTGCCAGATTGTGGCATTTTCCACCACAAGTTGACTACTTTTTAAACATGTTGTGGTAGACTAAATCTAATTGTCTGGCTGTCAGATCCTGTATACTACAATATACTATGAACAAATATGTTTGAATTTAATATTGTTGTTGGGTTGCCAGATTGGTTATCAAGCTGGTCTCGTCTTTCACACTGTACGAATATATTTGTTCGTGCGACAGTTTGAGAGTTTTGAAAACTAACCTATTATTTATTCACGCTATTTCGGTTCAATGAATTGGGTTGCCAGATTGGTGTTTTTTTTTCATATAATCGTCTATTTTTTCAAACCGCACTGCTTTTGTGGTGAACTGACTATCGAGGAGGGAGAAGTCTAACCAACCTGGCAACCTGTATCTTCGCTACGAGTGGCGACGGTGGGAGGGAGTGGGTCACGTGCGCGTGTCGGAGGCGCGAGAGAAGCGGGAGATGAGAGCGGAGTGTGAGAGGAGAGAGGAAACACGGAGCAGGTAAAGCAGTGATACTCCATTCATTCATTCACTCGTTCATTCATTCATTGATTCAGTAGAGTTTGAGCTGAGTCGCGTGGCTGTGCGCGCGAGGCTGTGTTCGTGCTCGAGAGAAAAGCTCCGTGACAAACTGTTGCTGGAGCTGCGCGACTCCGCGGCGAGTCTTCACTGCGAGGCGGAGAAAGTGCGGAGCTGTTCAGGGCGGCGGTGCTGAAATCTGACTGGGTCTCTGATCCGCTGGAATGCCCCTTCAGGGGGGTCAGGGGTCTGGGTGGGCTCCCCCCTACTCTTTATTTCTGTACTGCTGATTAACGACACTTCTCTGATTTCTTCTTTCCTGATATTTAGTGATATTTCCATTATTTTATTAACAGCTTTGTCAGAAATATAACTTGTAACATCCGAGCCAATCAAGAGTGCTGTGAGAGAGAAAGAGAGAGAAAAGGAGAGAGAGAGAGAGAGAGAGAGAGAGAGAGAGAGAGTATGAGGGAGACAGATAGAGACTTTAATAAATAAAGATATTGAAATATAACTTATTTCCTATTGATCTCTGTAGAGAGAGAGAGAGAGAGAGAGAGAGAGAGAGAAGGAAGAAAAGGGAGAGAGAGCAAAGAGTGTGAGAAACAGAAGAGAGATAAAGACAGAGATAGACAAAGACAGCAAGATAAAAAAAGAGGAGAGAAAAAGAGAGGTAGAGATAGACAGAAAGATGAGAGAAAAGGAAAAGAGAGAGATAGAGAGTGAAATGGGAGAGAGAGAGAGAGAGATGTTGATAACTAAAGAAGTCGTACATTAATGTTAATTTATTAAATATTGCTCTATATGCATCTTCTGTTTATTTGGTGTTTATATTAATTGCATCAATTTGGCTTGTAATATTAATGCCAATCAAGCAGTGATGAACTGAGAGAGAGAGAGAGAGAGAGAGAGAGAGAGAGATGGCACTGATATGGGAACTCTCTCAGATACATCAAATATCAGTTTGAATTAGTCAAATCTCAGTAAATTTCATTTAAAAAAAGAAACAGATTGTAAGAAAAAAAACTTGATGTGATTCTGATATTTTGTTTTTCTCAAAAATTGTACTTGATACAGTCAAGCAGAGAGAGAGAGAGAGAGAGAGAGGCAGTAAGAGAGAAAAGATAGAGAAGTGCACAAGAGAGAAAGAGATAGAGATAGAATAGAAGCACGAGAGAGAGAGAGAGAGAGAAGGAAGAGAAGCGATAAAGAGAGAGAGACAGAAAGAAGGAAGAGAAGCGAGAGAGAGGGGGAGAGAGAGAGAGAGAGAGAAGGGAGAGAAGAGAGAGAGAGAAAGAGAGACAGAGAGAGAAGGAAGAGAATCGAGAGAGAGAGAGAGAAGGAAGAGAAGCGAGAGACAGAGAGAGACAGAGAGAAGGAAGAGAAGCGAGAGACAGAGACAGAGAGAGAGAGAGAGAGAGAGAGAGAGAAGGAAGAGAAGCGAGAGACAGAGAGAGAGAGAGAGAGAGAGAGAGAGAGAGAGAGAAGGAAGAGAAAGAGAGAGATGAAGGAGAGAGAGAGAGAGAGAGAGAGAGAGATTTGTCTGTATGTAAAAGTTTCTTCTCTTTATTTCAGAAGCTGTCCTGTCAGGACTGTGATTAGCTTGTTTTGAGCCAAATCTTGCTGGAAATAATTGCTCTTGGCTGCGGAGTCATAAACTCATCAACTAGAGGCACAGAAGAGCTGAGAGGTAAGAAATCTGTGATGGTTTAATATGTTCAAACCCTTTATTCACACTAAACAGACACAGGCTTGACAGTGCTGAGCTAAAACAAGTCAAAGACGATTCATACATAGTTTGCAGAAGCTGCTCATCCAGCGTTTCTTTAGTAATCTAGAGTATTAATAGGGAGTTTGTTCTTCCTCTGCTGCAGTAACAGCCTCTACTCTTCTCAGAAGGCTTTACACTAGATATTGGAACATTGCTGTGAGGATTTGATTGAGCATTAGTGAGGTCAGGTACTGACGTTGGATGATCAGTTCGGGATCTCCAACTCATCCCAAAGGTCCTGGATGGAACTTGATCACTCCAGAGAACACAGTTCCACTGATCCGCAGCCCAATGCTGGGGTCTTCATACCCCTTTAACCCACACTTGGCATTGGACATGGTCATCTTTGGCTCATGTTCGGCTGCTCCAGGGCATACCACTCTATTAGTCAATGCTTTTCTATAGAGAATATACAAGCTGTGTATTCTCAACTGATGCTGGGTTAACGCTAAAGAAAGGTGTCTGGATAGTTTTGGACTTGTTGTGTAGCTTCTTAAGGTAATCAATATATGAAATATGGTACTGTACAAAAAAATCAGTACAGTATTTTTTATTTATACAAAGAGGCTGCTTGTGTTCCAGAACTCAATATGACTGAATATGTTTGGGTTACTGGGATTGTGGGAAGCAGAAAATGCAACCAACTTCTAAGACTGAACTTATATAGGAAAAATATCCCTGATTGAAACTGAAAGCAAGTCTATAGAAAAGAATGGAAGCTGTAAGAGTGTAAAGAGTGGACACACTTAATACTGAAAAATAGTTGATATTATATTTAGTTGTTGAGGCTTCTGTGCAATTTTCTGTTAAAGATATGCTGTATATGTTTTCCTGATGCTGAAAAATGAATGATTTGTACTCAATGTCTGTTTGACCGGTAATTAAATACATGAAGGGTGGTCTTTCTTTTGCACAGCACTGTATGTCTCACATATAAACATCTGAATCTGGAGAATCTCAGCTTTCAGGCTGCTGTTGGTTGATTTCGGTTCAGTTTTCTGGCATCAGGCTGTTGCTTATGGGTTCAGACAGAGAGAGAGAGTGAGAGACAGCGAGAGACACAGAGAGAGAGAGAATCACATAAATAGCACAGCATCGCGCTGCTCTGAGATTAAAAAGCATCTCTGGGCTGATTTCCAGAAGCTATGTTTAGTGTAAAAGTAGAGAAAATAAGAACATTAACCTATAAGTGATCAGAGCGGCTTCTGATTGGAGATAACAGCGCGTCGTCTTCGCTCCACTTTCTCCGGATTTATAAAAACAGCTCGCTTATTTATTGAGCAATAATTGATTTAACGAGTGAAAGGCTTCCTCTCTTTCGTGCTGTTGAGGTGCTTTGCCATCCAGACGCTATTCCGGGGGCCGTGACGTGCATTTGCTTATCTGCTGCCTATGTTAAAGCTGCTTCACTATGGTAACAAAGAGCGTTTCATGGCGAGGACAGTGAGATGAGCTGCCATTATCAGAAGTTTGTTGTTTACGGGTCAGGCAGGAATGTGTCATCTCTGAAAATGCACTCCCACTCGCTGTGCTTTGGGAGTTTAATGAACATTCAATCTACTGAACATCACAGAATGACTATGACGATGGTTACTTGCTTTGCTTAGGCGTTAATCAGCTGCATTGAGCCGTTAAATGGTCTTTAAAGCATTGATGGATGATATATTATCACCACATTACAATGAGTGCATTTACACACACTCAATAATCTGATCATAATTTCAGATTTCTGCAGTTATCTGATTATTCAAATGGTCATGTAAACAGCCTACTCTGATTTCTTAGGTCGGAGTAATGTCTAGAAATCTGACAAAGAGAGATGGGTTTTAGCTCAGTAATCAGATTTCTCAGTGCATGTGAACTCTTACTCTGATTTCTTTCATATTTCTCAGTTGGTGCATGTGCGAAAACAGACCGCGATGCCGTAAATAAGCAAGGAGCGTTGCCACGAGATCGCAGCAAAACACTTTTGTAGCGACGCTGAAACCGACTACATGCTTGACCAAATCAAGAATTTAAATCTTAAATCTTCTAGTTGATGTATGTTCATATTTTCAGGTAAAGTGGCTCAATGTTTCAAAAAAAGTTGCGACATGAAGTTTGAGTTTTACGTTATGCTTATGTCACGTATTATTATATTATAGAAATCTGATAACTGTCCGACTCATTTAGCCCTGGAGTTTCCCCATTATCTGACTACATGTAAGTGCATGTAAACACATTGACTGGATTACTGACAAAATCTGAATTTCTGCAGTTATCGGATTATTAAGTGCACGTGAACGCACTCAATGTTGATTTTTAGTTTTAGCGATATTAATAGTTGAAATCTTAGGGTGCTTTCACACGTTCCTTGTTTGTTGCAGAACAATCAGACTTTTAATTCGGTTTATTTTGACAGGTGTGAACATTCCACCTGCCCTCTCATGCACACCAAAGAACTGAACACCAATAATCATGGGTGTTTGGAACATATTTTTGATTGGCCCTACTAGGCACCAGCGACCTGATCGGTTTAAGTGCCAAAGTCAGAGATCACCCTTAATTTATTTCCTTTTGAGTCAAAACAGCTATTACGTGATTCATTTTTAGGTGTTTTTCTGAGGAGATTAAATATGAGAATCCACTTGCATAAAGAGACCATCAAAAGAAGCTTAAGTTTCCAAAACTGGATGTCAAAAAATGATTGAAACATACAGAGAAAGTGGGACTCTAGCAACCACCTGGACCTGGTAGACCACCAAACCTGTCCCCATCAGATAAACAGCACTTAAAGCTTTCATCTTTGAGAGAGAGGAGAAAAATCAAGCTCCACTCTTGATTCAGATCTGAAAACATCCCCAGATGTTTCTGTCCATCCTTCCACTGTGAGAAGACAGCTCAACGCTATGGGTCTGAAAGGATGTGCACCTATTAGAGTGCATTAGAATGAGCTTCTCTGGAGCAGCCGCACATAAGCCAAAGGTGACCAATGCAAAGTGGTGGCTAGAGGGGTATGAAGCCCTCCAGCATTGGGCTGTGGATCAGTGGAACTGTGTTCCCTGGAGTGATGGAGTTCCACCTGATACCTCTGGGATGAGTTGGAGATCCAGAACTGATCATCCAACATCAGTACCTGACCTCACTAATGCTCTCGTAGCTGAATGCAATCAAATCCTCAGAGCAATGTTCCAACATCTAGTATAAAGCCTTCCCAGAAGAATAGAGGGCTGATACTGCAGCAGAGGAGGGACAAACTCCCTATTAAAACCCTTCAAGAAGAAACATTGGATAAGCTGCTGTCTACATACTGTGTATATTACATTAACACAATTACTGCAAACCAAAAGACAGTCTTTTCTATGCAATGCATTAAATTCAGTGTAGTTTCCAGGTTGGCTGGCTATTAATAATCCCTTTATCTACCCACGTATGACTTTAACGTCTGAGTCGTTGGCAGCCGAGGCTGCTCCAGTATGAGTGTATTTATTGCAGGAGAGCAGAATCACCGTGTTTTAGTGTCTTAGAGTCTTAGCGGACCCCTTCTCCGAAGCTGCTGCTGCGCTCTGCATGCCTCTCCTGCCCTGCATTGTGAATACCACATGCCCTGCAGCTGTATACTGAGCCTGGCGAAGCCGAACGCTCAGACTTCTGCTAACCCTCATATTCTAACACAGCAGCTCACGCCTCCTCAAAGCCTGCGCTCAGACAGACATGAAGGTCAAGGCACACAGCGCAATACTGAGAGAGAGAGAGAGAGAGAGAGAGAGAGAGAGAGAGAGAGAGAGAGAGAGAGAGAATGCTTCCTGTAGAAAGAGATTCGTTTGTGTTCCTTGCCAAGATCAATCAGAATGGACTTTTCTTCATGAGATCCAGGTACTTATGTAACTGGACACTTTACATTCCACTTCCACTCAATGGCCACTTGGTGAATGACATTCACCTGCCTTATAGGTCCACTGTATGACTGTTCAGTTATAGACTGTAGCTTATGTGTTGTTGCAGTTTCAGCCCAGCTCTACTCTTTTATCATTGGTCAGGACGGCTGTTGACTAGCTATTACTCAGTGGTATATTACTGCACAGCAGTGACACTGTCATGGTAACCACTTTGAGGATAAGAGTGGCCCACCAAACAAAAAATCCAGCCAAAAGCAGCTCTGTGGTCACAAACTGACCACTGGTGATGGGCTAGAGGTACATAAACTGTGTATCAACTGATGGGCTACAGTACATCAGCAAGGTAGAGCAGCAAGGGAGGAGGTTTCTGATAAAGTGGGCAAATGTCAAACTGCATTACTGGCTTATGTAGAAAGCCACAGTATCTAGTTACACCAGGGGTCAGCAACCCAAATGTTGAGAAGATCCATTTTGTCAAGTTTTAACAAGAATCTAACCACCTTGGGAGCCACAACATTTCATGTCTATTTTATTGAAGTAGCATTTCACCATCTTGGCTGTAAATATGTCTCAACATGTGCTAATGTCCTAGTATAGGCAAAAAAATATAAATGAAAATGCAGACTTACTTTGCTCTGCTTTAAGCTTTAGCTAAAATATAACTGCTTTTCTCGCATCTCTGGCAGGAAACCTTTCTGAAAAAGTAGAACAGTTTCTTGTAAAAATGTTTGACTTTTTATGAAGCTACGGTTAGTTTCTCATTCGCCAGCTTCTTGTTCGAATTTCCCGATCCACCTTGAATGGTGCCTGAGGTGTCAGAATGTACCTAACTATGTAGCTAACTGTTGCAACATTTAAGGTGGAACGTGAAAATTCAAACAAGAAGCTGGCGAATAAGAAGATGACTTCAACTTGGCAACTTTTTAGTGTTTGATAGATTCTTGTTGCAGATTATATGTATCAGGAAACCAGCTGGAGTTATTATAAAGGCAAATAATTAGACTCCAAACGATTGATGTTCATCTTAAATCTCTTTGCCTTAAATCTCTAAAATTCTCTTTGCCTTTTCGTTAGCTGCTAGCTAGCCGAGACTGTCGTCTGTGTTGCTAGTTGTGTGACCAGCAATCTGCGCATCAGCCTTCAGGGTTAAAGGGTGAATTAGCAGTTACACAACTCCAGCGTTTAAGACCATTTATTGTTAAAAACCTTTATTTTACTGCAAAGGAGGATTATTTTATTTTTACCTAAATATCGAATTCTGCCGTGGAGCCACAACAGGGTAGGAAAAGAGCTGCATGCGACCCCTGAGTTAGACCTTTGAGTTAGCTCTAAGAGTCAAGAGTTAATACTTTGGTTTTATACACTGTAAATGCTAATAGTACACTTTTATAAGTCAAAAGGGAAATTTAGTCCTGGCAAAAGTGAGGCAACTGATTGTCCAACAACGTACAGGGATTTAAATATGATTATTCAATGTATATTTAATTACATAGTAGGGTCAATGTACTACGCTTTTTGCACTAGTTCCAAATGCAAATTAGACATGTTCTGCCTGTGCATTATGTGCAAAATTGGTGTACAAGCCTAAAAGCTCAGGTTATAGGCCATGTGCATGGAAAATTACAAAGCAAGCTACTCATCTCTCATGCATATGCATTTGAGTGATGACTGCACAAAACGCTCATGCAAACAAGTGAGTGGAGACACTGAAAGTGCGGCTGAAAGTTCCACACGATTTACTAACGTTTGAGCTACCAGCTGGTTTTGATTTTTGGTTTTATGTTGACACACTTCCTTGATCAAAAGTTACTAAAAGAATTCAGACACTGCTAATGCAATTTAATTCAGTAACCTTTATGTAGATCCATATAGCCTCTATTCAACATAATATATTTGGGTCATTCTACAGAAATGCCCACTTTTTTAATCTATCCTTAGGAGTCACTGGTGTTATGGTTTGTCATTATTGTTACACATAAGAAAGATAACACCAGTGACATTTTGATGGAAAACACATTTTACAAAATGGCTGCTAAAGAGCATCAAACCACATGTTGTCAGTCATGGAATATCCACTAAAATATGTAATTTAATCGTTTAATATTTTCACAATTACCCAAGAATAAAGTCGGTCACACCAGTGACTTCAGCTAAAAGCTTCATATGAAATCATGAGCTAAATGAGAAAATCTCTTATAACTGAAAGACACAGTGGACTCACCATGTGCTTTTCTTCATAGATCCTCAGAAAACAGGTAAAAGGAAGTCAAGTGATGTCACCAGTGCAAATTTTATTTCAAAAAAAGAAAACTTTTTATCACACAGTAACACCAGTGACACAACTCCTGTGGACAATAACTTTCATTATATACTTTATAATATTTATGTGGCATTTGTTTTCTTTATGTCATTTAAATCATTTATCTCATAGTCACGTATAGATTATTGCAGTTAAAATTGCAGAAAAACGTGTTTTTACCTCGAAAAGTGACTCTCACCCTGTGAGGATGAGCTCTTCTGTGGTGCTTGGAATTCTATATAATTGATTTAAAAACCAATGTTGCTAAATTGACGGCTCAAGAAGGTGTAATTGTTAAAATAACTTCTTAAAAGTTTTGTAAACTTTTCAAGTGTAATTTATCTGTAAACGCCAGGGACACAAAAATGACCCATTTCCCCCAAGACCCCAGACAAAACTCGTCCATGTTCAAACAAAAATAAACTTGAGTCCAAGATCCCATTGAATTATCAATTCAGTTCAAAAGGAGTTCCAACAGAGCTTGTCTAAAAAATAAATAAATAAATAAATAAATAAACAAACAAACAAACAAACAAACAAACATGTTGTCTCCGAATGAGAAAAATTACCCACTAAAAACGCAAGAACATCCAAGACATACATCACAAAAAACAGAAGGCCCAGCAAAAACTCAGCGATCTCACCCAGATTCCTGACTTATTCTCAACTGCTCCAGGAATAATCCACCATCATCAGTGAGCAGAAGATGAGGAAGAGGTTAGGTTCCTTATTGGTTGGCAAGAGTGGAGCAAACAGTCAGCTCTTCCCAACCTTGGTACTTCCTCAAAATGGCAGCCACCACCACTTGCTGTCCCAAACCAGGGTTTATATTCAAAATAAAAGTCCCCCCTCCTTGTGGTATAAGCAGGACGTAAAAGAAAACAAAATAATGGCTTAGAAAGCATCAGGTCAAGAAAAATAGACCACCTCAAAGCCCTCGGTCACCAGTAACTTTGGTCATGGTTGCCCAGGGACTGTCTGAGAACTACTATGTTTAACACAAGAAAAGTATTTAATGTTTGTGTTTAATTATTGATAATCGGTAAATCACAGGTCCCAAGATGGGGCAGTGTCACAATAGCAGTGGTCAGTACGTATATATGTACAAGTGTGAAAAGACATTCCCAAACTTTGACTTATTAGCTGTCGTAAAATAACCCACTGTGCAATGTTTGGTGGGAAAAAATTTCAATTATTAACATAAATTAATATCATGGTGCTATTTAAATCCTGCAGCTAGTTAGTGGGCGGGGCTATGTGTAGTGATGAGCATGATAAGCTGCAGTAAACTGAACGTTAAATTCAGGTGCATTGTTTCTGTTAATCTGAGGTCAAGCAATGACAAAAACAGGGCATAAATGTAAAAAAATGTTCTTGCCATACACACAATTTCAAATCATAATAAAATATCTCCTTTTCTGCTCACAAACACAAATGTTATACAGAGTTTACAGTCCGGACACACCCGCTTGTTTCAATGGCCTACAACTGAGACATAAGTAACATTGTACTGGCGATAAGTATTAATTGTCAATAAACAATCAGTATGTGATGAAAAAAGCTCTACATTCTGATCAGATTCTCAGAGGTTCTCTTCTCTGCTTCAGGCTCACTGAATGTCATTTGTGAGAACATCGTGGGTGTTCTGGAATCCAACCCCTTCAACCCTTTAAGCCGAATGCTGTCATCTGACAGAGGATGTAGACCAGAAGCTGACTAACCATGAGGAAGGGAACATCCTGTAATCTCCAGATTTGGATCTACTGATCCTGCAAAGCGAAAAAGCGTCTTTGATTCACTGTGGAGAGCCTTGTCCCTCGAGTCGAAAGGATGGCTAAGACTTTCTACAGGCTGCAGCGCTTTTTAAGACGGGCTCGCTTGCTCCTCCTCTTCCTGGGTGTGGCTTACATCATGGCAGGAAGTGTCTTGTTGCTCCAGCGCTCCAGCGTGGCCTTGTTTCAGAGAGGAACTGACACCGTACTGGTGCCCCCTAGAGCCCTGGAGGTGCCAAATGACGGCTGGCGCTACAGGAGACCGGGATCTAGAGTGATTGAAGATGTAGAGAACAGTCCATTGGATCTGTCAGGCAGCAGAGCCGATCAAGAACGTTTCATGTCCCGTAACCTGAAGATCCGACACCTCAGACGCCACTGGATCCAGGGCCGAAGAACGGAGGATGAGAATGGAGTAGAACACAGTCAAGCACACAAGGCTACCAGGCATAAAGGTGAGACTTGATTGGCAACACATACTAAAGTTTTCTTCTTTAGTTTTGCACTGAGGCTAAAAGGCTAATGTGGCTAGCATGTAATGTACAGATAGGTGACAAACTAAAGCCAACATAAAGGGTCTTAGTAAGGCCACCGTCATCCACGGTGCACTTTGGCTTAGATTATACATGAAAACTTTACTGGACAGATGTAACGCCATTCCTCCCAAAGATGTTCCCTCAAGTGGTGGACATCCAATGGATGATGGTGGATGGCTCCCATAGGTGTTTAACTGAGCTGAGATCTGGATAAGAGCATCTCCCAAATGCCGTAAATGGCATGACATTTGACTTACATCATTTTCATACTATTCAAACCACTCAGTGACCCCTTGTGCCCTGTGGATAGGGGCATTTTCATCCTGGAAAAGACCACTTACATCAAAAACATAGCATAAACATAGGATAAAAGATGATCAGCAGAGTTCAATTCAGTTCATTATGTACTGTGGTACAGTATAATGAAACACATTCTGGCTTCTTCAATGGTGCGTAAACATTAAGATAAGACAAGAGTGCAGATGTACTAGTGGAATAACAGAAAAAAACAGAAGGGTGCTGATGCATAGACTGTGTGTACATATATGTGCAAAATGCATTCTCAGAGGTAGGTCCAGTGTGTAAGTTTGAAATGTGGCAGATGTCATGGGAGGGCCCTTAGTGGAAAGTCTGACTATGAGGTGACATATTGATGCATGCTATACAGCATTTCTGCCATTACTACATTAAATAAAACCCAGAATGAGACCACAAAAAGCCATATATTTCAAATACTAGTAGCCTCTCACCTCAGCCAAACATACAGCCAAGTCTGTTTCACTTCATATCACTCAAAACAGCCATTTTTTACTCAAAATCAGCCATTTTGTAAAGAGTTAGTTTTGCTCAGTGTAATAAATTTATTAGTGAAGTTTTATTCTATTACATTTATGAAATGAAAAAGTGTAAAAATAACTCAAACTTGGCCTTTACCAGAGCTCTCACTGCAGCACTTTCTATGTAGTTTGTATTATATCCACTATGCAATGCTGCGTGGTTGTCTGCTGTGAGATGGCCTTTAGAAGCTGACAGTAAGACACAGCAAGCAACTCTAAAACCCACCTTCTTCACAGTTAGTTAACTAAAATATATGTTATGTAAGGAGGCAAATGTATTTAGTCATCAGCAGGCAGGTTTTATGGGTTCCAAAAGAAGTAAAACCAAATTACAATTCAATTTGCTAGACAACTGGTTAAAATTCTGTTGGTTATCATGCAAAAAAGACTTGTAGGTTAATGTGGATGTTGGCCATTGCTTGTTCTCAAACAGCCTACAATGAAAACTCTTTGCCAACAAAAAAACACATTTGTTGGCATCTGCCAACAAACACTTACTTTTCCTAGGCTTATCATTACTCGATATGCAACTTCTAACGTCATACAGTCAGGGGCAGCCGCCTAGGGCCCCCATTAGCCAAGGACCCCATCAATACACAAATTAGATAAACTGTATATGCTGATGTTAATTTACATATTGCAAAATAAATATACATTTTAAAAATAGCTGTTATTTGTGCTTGCGGTGATTATTTTCGATAATTGCAATGCAGCCCCATGACCCGGTCATGGTTATAATGGATTATTCCATGTTGTTACATGATGATACAGTTGCATAAAGACAGACTGGTATGAACAAGGCAATTAAGCAATAATCTACCTACTGGAAAGACATTCTTCAGTGTGTTTTTTTGGGGTGTTGAGAGTCATTACTTCTACATTACTCTGCTACTTCTACAAAACAATTTTGCTTGTTTTAAGCATATTTCTTTAAATAAGCTGAATTATCTGCCAGTACAGTGTGACAATTTCATACATACATACATACATCATCTAAACCGCTTATCCTTCCGGGTCGCGGTGGGGTGCTGGAGCCTATCCCAGCTGTCATTGGGCGGAAGGCAGGATACACCCTGGACAGGTCGCCAGTCCATCGCAGGGCAGACAGACAGACATACACAGTCACACACACGCACTCACACCTAGGGGCAATTCAGCATGTCCAATTAGCTTAACTGCATGTTTTTGGACTGTGGGAGGAAACCGGAGTACCCGGAGGAAACCCACGCAGACACGGGGAGAACATGCAAACTCCACACAGAAACGACCCCGGTTGCCCAGCCGAACCCAGGCCATTTTTGCTTGAATAATCTTATAATATTCTTACAGCAGTCTCAAAATAAGAAATATTGGATATATCCACTTAATTTAAGATGATTTTACTTGCCAAGATCTAATTTTTTGCAGCGCAGATGGCTGTGCAACTCAGGAGCCCAGAGTCTCAACTTAGGCCTAATCCCATTTCTTATTTTTACTCCTACTCCTTGTTTTCGAGTGTCTCCTTACCCCTTGAAACTGAGTTACAAGGCTAGTGGTTGAAATCGTCCTTATGAAATGGGACCCTCAAATAACGAACATCACTTCATTAACAGCTACTAGCGCTGCTCTGTAGGCGACCCTGCCAGTCTGCAGTGACAGCAGAGGAGGGTAAAGTTCAGCTCCTCACTGCTGGGCTTTAGTTACACTTAGGGCATCATATTCCTTCAAAGAGGGGGGAAGGGGTGAAACAGTTATTTATTATCACCACCACTAATTCTTTGGTGATATGAAGCTGAAGTCAGCTATTTGCCAGCTTCTTGCTCGAATTTTCCCATTTCACCTTAAATGGTGTAGCAGTTCTGATGTCTGAGGCCATTTAAGGTGGAACAGGAAGCTAGCTGCCTAGGGCCCCAGAATCACCAAATCCACCCCTGATTACAGTAAGCAAGTATTACTGTGCTAAACATAGTTTGAAGCAAATGTATGAAGATTTTGGCCAGTATTTGTGGAAATGGTTTGGGTGACTACTTAGCACTGTTAGCCTAGCAACCACAGTTCTACACTAAAGAAGCACCAAACACATCTTGATCAGTCTACTGCATTTGGGACAAGGGGAAAACTGTGTAAATCAGGTTTTTTGCCAAACTATTCAATTAAACGAGCTAGTGATCTCTCAAATGATTTTCCTACGTTGTTCAACAGGAACCTACATCGGATGCTTCATAAATGACGACAAGCAGCGTGCGCTCGGGGGCACTGTCCTCTACGACTTCCGCAAAATGACCAGCTCCCTTTGTCAGGACACCTGCTCGGAGAGGTAAGGCTTGAACAGGACCGATTGACCCAAAGCTTTCTGCAAAGACTGAAAGCGAAGGTCAGACAGAATGAAAAGAAACAGTGTTCGGCCAGAAGAAGGCAGGCAGTGTCGAGGCGGCAGGGACAGGTGGCCGAATCCGGGCAGGCGCTTCTGGAGGTGGGCCAGAGGCCTGGTGGAAGACAGAGGTGGATCTTTTTATCTGTGGGGGTGGAGTGGAGGACGGCTGGCTGAGAGGCTCAGCGTGCGGAGGCGGCGCTGGCTGAAAGCACTCTTAAACATCCTGACCGGCCTCACGAAATGAACCGCTCGCAGGCAAATTGCCACGGATGATTAATGCTCATCCAGGAAATGGAAAATATTAGGCTTACTTTGGCCAACAATTTCAGCAGTGACGCTAACCCGCTGCGAATGTTACCCACTCAGAGCCACTTAACAGCAAAGGACACGGCGACTCTCATCCGGAAAGCAGACACAGGCCTGCCTGCTCTGCCACTGATACATAATTAATACAATTGATACATAAAAGCACTTTTTCTTGCAGACTGGGGAATAACTTTCCCATGATCAAATGGTGTCAGATGAGCAAGCTGCGTGCTATTTTTCACCCACAGTTCATGTAGACAGCAAAAATGAGGCTGCAGAAAGCATACAGAAAAATGCCGAAGGTTTATTTAAGGTAAGCCTCATGTGGTTAAAAGTGGTAGCTCCGGGGCATCATGTTGGCATTGCCTGAAAGAACCTTATTTTCATCGACAATCTAAAAATGCCTGTGGTTGTTTCAGGATTGTCTCACGGGGAACAAATGTGATCTGTTAATGGGAATACACACAGGGGTGTCGCTAGGCCAGTTTTAGGGAGGCTTTAGCCCCCCCCCCAAATAAATGTACATAAATGTACTAGTTCAAATGTTCTATAGTTTATTCTCATTCATTCTTCATTATTCCACCACGGCGTCGCGTCTCCAAGTTCTCAATATACTGTGATAGCCTGGGGAAGGCGCTAGTGCTGCTTTAATGCAGCGCTGCCGCTGTGTGGAAAGTGGAACCCCTGGCTCGGCCAATCATATCAGACTTTCTATGTTGTTAGCCAATCATCCCAGAGAGTGAGAATATATCAGTCCACTGGCTTCATAAGGTCGGCAACCCGCTGACTGTTTGCCACTGCTGGTCCACCCTCGGACCACTCAGATTACTGTCCTGCATACAAGCTCTAACTAGTTTTTAATCTCCTCAAACAGATTTTAAATACACAGTGACTTTTATTTTAGAAAATAAACTTAGACAAGTAATACAAATAACTGAGAGAAAAAAATAACGACTACGCCCAATGTAAAATGATTCTATAGACAATGTTGTTGCTGACACTGTACTAGATTAATAGAATTTACTAAACTAACTTACAAAGTAAAACTAAAGAAAGGAAGGAAGGAAAAATAAGTAAATTGGACTGTGAGTGGAAAATGAGTGATGATAAGTGGAATTTTGTTTAATACTCTGCTTGAACACCGGTTGGCCGCCCAGAAAATGTTGAGCAAAGTGCCAGTGGACCACCAGCTTTGCCATCAGCGGGCCGACAGTGGTCCACTATCCTCTTGCTATCAGGTATATCATATCTGAGGGAGGTCTCCTAGAGCGAGTAAAACCAGACCTTATTAAAAATGTATGATATTCAGCGTGAAACAGTAAATAGTTACAGAGTGAAGCTACAATATGGATTTGTGGCAAATTTTGGTTATTATAACTGGTTACTGGGTTTTTACTTGGTTGCTTGTTAGCCAGCTAGTTTTGGGTTTATGTGATGCAAAGAAAAGCAGTTAGGCTAACATTAACATTAGCTGATTAGCCAACTAGTTTAAGAATTTGATGAAGCTTCATTTCATAGAAAGCCTGTGAGAGTGTGAATGAGCGACAGGGATAGAAAGAACATTACTGAAAACTCTTTATATTCATTGTTTTTAGATTTCTCTTGAAACAATGGCCTGTTTTCCACTGCAGGGCCAAACGGTTCTGAGCACGGAGGCATTTCCACACGGACACGATTCTATGAGCTTAAAAACATTTTTGTTGACATGGATAGCCAACCATACTCTGGGCCACAGAACCGTTCGGTGGGATAATGCAACTACGTACCTATTCGCTGGAGCCTCCTAGCTAATCTAATGCTAGCCGGCTCCTCTCCCCTAGTTAACTTAGCATAGCTGAAGAGATCCACACACTCAGTGCAGGGTTCGATTCGACTGGCTGGCGCCCTGCTATCACAAGTATAGATGATAAAAACTTATAACAGTGAGAGCAAAGTTGACTGGTTGATGGTGGAGTGACAGAAAGCCGAAATCAAACCTGTGTGTAGTGCTTTAAGCTGTAGCTTGCTAGGCTAAGCTAACGCGAGTTCATGGTTAAAAACACCTGTTTAGAGGATAAAAACTTGTATCTGAGAGCAAAGATTCGAATGACCTGTGTTGAAGTCCCAAAAGACTAGAATAGAATTGTTCTGTGGTGCTTTGAGCTGTTGACTGCTGGGTGATGCTAATGCTAATGTAGCTAGTTATCCAACTGCAGGTGAAACCCACCGCAGTACAGTCTGTTTCAGTAACAGATGCTCAAATAAGACCCATTTAGAGGATAAAGAGGACGAGAGCTCGGTGAGAGACTGAAGTTGGCGTGACAGAATCAGACATGTTGTGGTGGGTGGTGTGTGCATCACCGGGCTGTTAGCCACTCGTTTGTGTAGTTTTCTTGGGTATTTCCTAATTCTGATTTAGCAGTACAACAGATGGAAAAGGAACCCAGTAACAGGTCTCACAAGTCCAGACCAGCACGGAACGGCACGGTATGGCCCTGAGAACCATTTGACTTGATAGTGGAAAAGCGGCCGATGACACCAGAATAATGTCAGTCAAAAAGGTCATATAGTGTTGATCATAATGCAATTTTATATCCCTCAATTCCTCAACCAGTAGAAATTAAGAGGCTGCAGTGAAGAATTTTAGCAGAAACTGAATAGATTGATCTCTTATTATTCCCTCGAGTTGTGAGTTTAATAAAATTAATGTATGACTAAACACCGGCGAGGAGAGGGAGAGAAGCCAACAGGGCTGAAGGGAAGATCTGATTGTTTATGCTTTCAATAACGATTAATGCAGGATTTAACTGAACTTAACTGAGAAAATATAATCTTTGTCACTATGACGATGAAATTCTGTCACCTAGCCAATTAAACATGCCTTCAGAGGAAAATCCCCCTTTCGGACTGCACCAGCTGAGACTAACTGATCTAATACGTTAACCTCTAGTGGTGCCCCTGAATGCACCTCTGAGGAAAATGTCTATTTCTTTTCTTATTTAATTATTTAATCTGCTCTTCTCTGTTAATCATGTGATTTCTCCTTGCTGTTGCTGCATTTATTGGATATATGGATCATTCTACTGAATTAGTTCAATCTGCATTTCCACATAAAATAAAACAAAGTATTCAGACTTTTCATATTTACATATAATATAATATAATATAATATAATATATAAACTTGTGAAAATATTTTTTTGTATTTCTTTTAACATTTTAAAGATCTTTTGATTCATTTAAAAGTGAAGTTGAAAGATTTAGCATTATTATTAGTTTAATTTTTAAATTAAAAAACGTCAAAAAATGCTGTCTCATGTTTTCGTCACTACTGAAACACAGCTTTAGTCAAAAGGTGGAGCCTCATTTTAGCCACGCCTCTGCATTTTTAGAGCAGGAAGTGAGACTGCATTACTGTCCCTCATGGCCACATGGTGAACAGTTAGATCCCATTTTTTGAAGTCAGTGTGTCCCAAAGTCTAAAAATCAGTGTGTAACATTATGAATTGTCACTACTGAAACACATATTTTCTATAATTAAGTAAAAAATGAAGATTTAATGTGTGTACAATTGTTCAAAGCTGTGTCATGTACTGCCTAGTGTTTTTGAGATTGTCATTACCAAACCAGTCACTACTAAAACATTTGATAATGTTTCAGTATTTTGATGATGTTTAGTGTTTGATAAAACAGAACGTTGTGTGATCTAAAATTTATAGAGCAAACTCCTGAGTTCCATTGTAAAAGATCACAGTGCATCCAACAATAAAGGCAGCCTCTGGCATCTTTTACACAGTGATAGAAAACATGGTAGCACACCAAAAGCTCTGATTCTACAGGCTGATAAATTTCATTCTTGGACAAACTGAACACACATGCAAAATATCTCCTCTGGCGGTAGATATAAATAAGTTAAAAGATCCATCACCAACGTGTCAGAATGGATCAAAGGCAAGATGACTTAGTCCGATAGGATGAAGCAAATTATGCCCCCATAAATTCCACCTGCAAATTATTTTAACGAAATGTTATCATTAGCGAACTCAACTGTTTTTCCCTTGACAGGTCTCACTCATCTATATGCACGAGTAATTTGTAGTTTGTTGGGAAGACTTTTCAGCCATGCTAACTTACATTACATAGATGGGCTAACAGCAGACTTACTGTGTGTTGCAACATCACAACCTTCTTTGAGCTCCACCTTGGATTGATTTAGAATTGTCACTCTCACTTTGTTCCCACCCCAATGTCACTCCCACCCACATTTAACCCAAAATATCTCATGGCTGTGCCCAGACGTTCTCATTGCAAGATCACGCTTGGCCCTGCGAGTTTCAGGACGGTTATGATCCATGTGAAAAACCTCTACTTCATGACCATTGCATAGTATCTTTGGTCATATACTGGTATTCTATAGTAAAAAGATAATGAAATAATTATATCAAATACAGATATCTAAAGGAAGCACATGGATATAGGATAGCTACAGACACTGGCCACTTTATTAGAAACCCATACCTTGTAGCTCCATCTTGCTGGTGTACAGTTACAGAGTGTTCCTCATCTGTTGATGCATAAATTGTGCATCCTCTAGCCCTTCATCAGTGGTCAGTTTCAGATTGCTCTTGGCTACCACATCAGTATCTGTGCTGTGAATGATCCACCACCCAAATAATATCTGGACAACAGTGGTCCTGTAGTTTACTGACCAATGATGAATGAGATGAGGGAGGCGGATATACTGTGCCACAACAGATGGGCTACAGCCTGTGATTGTACACCAACATAGTGGATCTATAATGAAGGTGGAGCTCATAAAGTGACCTGTGAGCGGTCACTAGCTGTCTCGTTCTTCTTGCAGTGGGTACCAGTTTGCAGGGCTGGAATATGGGACAGAGTGCCACTGCGGCAATCGGATTAGTGCCCCAAGAGCTCGGAGGGAGGACTGTAACCTGGACTGCAGGGGAGAAAGGGGCTCTCCGTGTGGAGGTGTGGGCCGACTGTCCATCTACAAGGTGGAGGAGAGACTCCCTGGCCACAGGACATGTGAGTGTGCCTAAAGGTGGATGATATAGTATGATGTTAATATCACAGGCAACACTTTCGTGTATTTATTTCCCAGGAAAAATGGCCATTAAGTACAAGTTATTTATTTTTAAGGACATTTTTGAGGAGATTAGATATAAGAGAATCCATTTGCATAAGGATGGAGAACTGGTAGAAAACAAAAACTGGGACAATCAAGCTCCACTTCTGCTTCAGACGCAGGTGTTTCTGTGAGAAGACAACTCAACACTATGGATGTGAAAGGATAAGTAGCAAATCAAACAAAGAACCTGCTGGTGTTCTCAGAACAATGGCCTGACCACCCCAGAGTCCAGACCCCAGCATCACTGAATGTGGTTGGGATTTCTTGGATTGTAAGAAGCAAAAAATGCAGCTAACTTCTAAGACTCAATGTTGGAGGTGTGAAAAACATCCCTGCAGATTTCTTTGAAAACCTGAAAGCAAGTCTCCTGAAAAGAATAAAAGCTGTGATACTTGCAAAGAGTCCACAGCTGCGTGCGGCTCTTTTACTGCCCTGCTGCGGCTTCACAGCAGAATCAGACCTTTAGGTAAAAATAAAATAATCCTCCTTTGCAGTAAAATAAAGCTCTGCTGATCATTCAACACAGTTTAACAATAAATGGTCTTAAACGCTGGAGTTAATGTAGAACTGCTAATTCACCCTTTAACCCTGAAGATTGGCATGCAGACTGCTGGTCACCATAGCAATGCACAAAATCTCATCTAGCTAGTATCCAATGATAAGGCAAGGAGAAAGATTTAAGATGTACATGGATAATTTGGAGACGATTAGACTTATTTGCATTTACAATCACTCAGATTACGTTTAGATACGTTTAATCTGCAACAAGAAACTGTCAAACACTAAAAAGTCATGAAGCTGAAGTCAGCTTCTTGTTCGAATTCCATTTAAGATGGAACAGGAAAATTTGACAACCAAGCTGGTGAATGAGAAACTGACTCCAGCCTCATAAAACACTGAACGTTGAGAGACATTTTACAAGAAACTATTCTGCTTTTGTGGGCAATTTTCCTGCCAGAGATGTGAGAAAAGCGACTATAGCTGAGCTCTGTGTTTTTGTTTATATTTTTTAGTCTGTACTAGTACATTAGCACATACTGAGACATATTTACAGCCAAGATGCTAAAATGGACATAAAATATTGAGGCTCCCAAGATTTGATTTTTGCTGAAAGGACAAAATGGATCTTCCTAACATTTGGGTTGCCAACCCCTGGACTAAACACTGAAAAATGTAATATTATATTGGGTTGTTGAGGCCTCTGTTATTTTTCTGTTCTTCCTGATGCTGAAAAATGAATAACTTAATCACTGTTTGACTGGAAATTAAATAAATAACAGGGTGGTCTCCGACTCACGCATGTTACTGTTCATTCCATTCAGTAGTGCTGACGATATTCATGAAAGTGTCTGATGACAATATATCATAATGCTAACAATCCCCCTCTTTGTTGTGCTTCTTCTGTTTGAAGAAAAGCTGTAAGACCCAGAGAAGAAAGCAAAGTATACGAACTCTGAGTATGCACTCATGAGCTGCTGAAGGCTGCGCTAGCATCATTTATCACCGATGATTAATGCAATATCACTTTGATGGTACAATGCTCAAACTGTGTTTCACACTTTCACAGCAGGTTTGGGTGTGATTAATTTCAGGCTCAGTAGCTGTCTCAACAGAAAAAGAGTCTGATGATGTCCATGTAGAAACTCAGACAGCGCACGGCGGGAGGGGTGACCGTGGCGGTGGGGGGTTGGGAAGGCCCTGTCCGACCCAGGGTGCGGTGGCAGCAGCACGCCCACGGAATCTCAATCGAGCCGCATATCTCACCGATTTTGAGCGATTAGATCTATTCTAGACAGTTCTGTGGTTTTACTGCAGAGTATCCTCAGGTCAAAGACTACAGCCCTGAGCCAGAACACTGAAGAACGCTGAAAGTGAGTGAAGATAAGAGATATGAGAGAAAGTGAGTGAGAACATGAAGACTTTGACTGGACTGTGGGAAAAACATACAGTATAATACTTGAAAGTACTGTCCCTTTTATAGGACCAGGGTTAGGGTTTTGTGTAGAGGTTAGAATTAGGGATTAGGGAAAACTAGGGTGAATTAAAAAGATATTTAGTTGAATGCAAGTTAAAAACAAGATAAGCGTTTACAAAACATATACTGTATTTATGAAATACCTACAATACTCTGTAAAAGTCCTTTAATTTATTTAATTTTCACTCCAAACAGCCATTAAATGCAAATTATTCATTTTCCACCATCCAAAAAAGCAGAAAACATTTATTTAACAGACAATTATACAGAAGCTTTGACAATTAAATATAATGTCCCTTTTTCAGTCATTTTTCAGTATTTAGTGTCTCAATGTGGTCATTTTGCCTTTATTAGTGCTTCCATTCTGTTCAGACAACTTGCTTTTAGTTTTTCAAAGAAATCTCCAGGGATATTTTTCCACACCTCCAAAGCTCAGTCTTAGTACTTGGTTGAATTTTCTGCCAAGTAATCTCAATTACAAATGTAGACACATCACCTCTCCACATCTCAGACATCCAGTTTTGGTGCTCCAGAGCAAAAACTTTTCCTTTGCCCATTTTCTTTTCTCAGTAAGAGCTTCTACACAGCTACGCATCCTTTCAGACCCATAGTGCTGAGCTGTCTCACAGTGGAAGGATGGACAGAGCACCAAAGTGGAGCTTTATATTCTCCTCTCTCTCAAGGATGAAATGTTTAAGCGCTGTTTATCTGATGGGGACAGTTTTGGTGTCTACCAGGTCTTCCAGGTGGTTGTTAGGACTCCCATTTTCTTTGGGAGCTTTCAATCACTTTTTGAACTTTAGTTCTGGAAACATCTTTTTATCTCCTTCTTTATGTATCTTATATCTATCCTCCTTTGAAATATCTCCTGTAAAATGAATAACTTGTACTTAATAGCCGTTTTGACCAGATAAATGAAGGATGGTCTCTGACTCCCTTCCTTATTGATGTACAACAGACCTATTCATGCTCCAAAAGCATTCCTTTGTAGCAACTGTTTCAAGGTTCCAGAAACTGTGACTCACAACACAACTCCGTTCATTTATAGGGCTTTATTCATTTCAAATGACATTTATTTTGTGCATATGTGAGAGATCACACTGTTAGGACAGACTGTGTCTGTAATAGAGTTGACGTTAGCAGATTCATTGTCGTTTCCAACCTGCCTAGATTTTATTAGGTACAACATATTCAGACTTGGTAGCAAAATATTTTAAACTGAAAACTTAACGTTAAGCAGCAAATCTAACCTCCCACCAGAGTTCATGAAGTTCATTGGGATCTTGCCAACATTCTGTAAAGCTTGTCCAATCTTGCAACAGACCATGAATTGGGTCATTTACAAACTGCAACCCATTTGTTCGTCAGCCGCCCCCACCCACCTACCTCACTGGTCAGTTTCTGACCACAGGAAGGATATTATAAGGGTGCTGGACCACTCTTAGCACTACAGCAACACTGACATATTAGTAGTATGGTTCTGGTTCAGCTGTACAGGGGTGTTTTTTCATGTCATTGACACTGCTAGGTTGAGATTGAACCACCACTCCATCCAACAGTAGCACAATCTGTTTGTTGATGAGGGACTTTTGGGTGGCTCATGCAAAATGGGCACTGGATGGACTACGTCCAGCTGTACACCAGCAAAGTGAAGTGGCCATTGTGTGCTAATACATGACTATCTGTTTCAGTTTTGTCTCTCTTTCTCCCTCAGACAGGAATGTGCACTACCACGGCTGCTTCCAAGCTTTAAAGAACACCAGCGAAGGCCTCCTGGTCCACACCAGCCAGACTAACCTGACCTTGCAGCTGTGTGTGGAGACCTGCACAGATAAGGTTCGATACAGTGCTCCCTAAACCCACTCCACACGGCCTTTTAGCTCCCCTCCTTTGTACTTACATCAAAAGAGACCATCATCAATCAATAGTCCCCAGCGATTTAAGAGCTTCTTTTTAGGTCTTACATTGAAGCAAACTGTGCTGCTCTCTCAAGAGACTCTCAATAAAGAAATGTTGCTTATGAAGGTCTAATGGATCTTTAATGAGAAAAAGATGGATAGTTAGAATCAATTAGTTTATATGGCTAGTGTTTTTGGGCTAGGAATAAAAAAAGTGCAGTTCACAATGAGCAGTACCAATATTTTGTCTTCTTTCTTAGATTCCAGCCTCAGTATAACATTTCTGAAAATGGTTAAGTTTGTTCCTTTCCTACTGTCTGTATGTAGGCCTAATATAATTAAATAATATGTTTGGAAAGCTATTAGACCGTGCAGTTGTGATTAAATTGGGAACCTGTAAATTGCTCTAATATATAGCTATGAGAAAGCCATTATAATTTAAGTCCAAATGTAAAATTTTATGCATTGTCAATAGAGCTTCATATGTAGTTGATGAGGCTTTGGTGTTTTTGTTAAATGTATGTTTTATTGTTTTTTTTTTTATGCTGAAAAATGAATAACTTGTACTTAATTGTCGTCTTGAGTGGAAACTGAATGAAAGGGTGGTCTTTGACTTTTGCACAGTACTGTACACACCTTATAAATCTCTTCTAAAATGATGCACTGAATAAAATCAAGCAAGATGTGATTTGGCTTTCAGCTTGCAGTGATTGAAATGTAGGCCTGTGTATGTGTAAGTGTTCTGAATGACTCATGGAACAGCCAGTCTTCACAGTCAGAATGAATGTCCATTTGTCCACATTCTCTTTTTCTCTCTCTGACTTTCTTTTTTTAATATATGTTTTTTTAAATAATATATCAGGAGCTGCCATTAGCTGTAATGAGAAGGCGGGACTGTCTCTGTGGCCACGCCTCTTCTCTTCTCAAAATGCAGAAGAATGTAGAGGGACACCAGTGTGGGCGCAGCAATCCTACAAACCACACCTACAGCCATGAGCAAGACTACTTACAGGTGTACAGCACACCTGTGCTAGGTAACACACACTCATACACTCACAAACACACACACTACATGCTCACTCTGTACTTATATACACATTACTTAGACACATGGATAAGATACAAACATGGTTATTTTTATAGGATAGGATGTGCAATTAAATATCTGTTCCATTTGTGTTTTTTTATATATATATATATATATATATTTATATATATATATATATATATATATATATATAATTGTAAAAAAGTATTTTATTAAATCAGGGCTATTTTGCTGCTCCTGACATTGTAGGTTAGCCTTGTTTTCCCTGCTTTTCCCATGTTGAGTATGTATGAAAATGCATGATTTGGTGTACTTCCCCTGGTGCCAGATTCTAGGTGTAAGGAGAGGACATTTCTGCCTGAGCGGTCACCCTCCCTCATAGCCTTGTCCAGTTTTCCTGGAGCAGGAAACACCTGGGTCCGCCATCTCATCGAGCTCGCCACCGGATTCTACACCGGCAGCTACTACTTTGACGGCTCTTTATACAACAAAGGTGAGACACTCACACTGCACATAAACTTTAGATATCAAACAATTAAAGAAAACTTTTTTACACCAATTGAAAATACCAGCTGCCCTTCACACCACATAAACACGTCATGACAAATGGAGCAACAGAAATGGTCCAGATTTATGTGGCATCAAATGTATTTATTTTAATGTATATTAAAGTTAAGGATTGTGTACAACATATAATATAACAATATATGTAATATAACAATATCTATGTAAGTACCTGTGTGTGTGTGTCTGTGTTTGTGTGTGTGTTTGTGTGTGTGTGTGTGTGTGTGTGTGTGTGTATACACAGGCACTTATATATTGACATGTTATATACATGTATATCATATGGAATTATGTGGACCATATATTTTATTACATGTATGTAAAAAGCTACATGTAATAAAAATATTCCCTATATTATATGAGTACCTTATACTTATACTAAGTACCCAAATGCAATAGTATGTCTTATATGTTCTATATTTTGTTGCTGCCTGAGCAAAAACTTTCCATTTTGTTGTTGTTTTTTTGTTTGTTTACTTGGTTTTACTTTTCAAAATTTGAAAATGCCACCTGCCGTTTACACTGTCATAATTTCATGATGAATAGAACAACAGAGCACGCTCCAGAAAGAGAAAACTTCTTACAATTTCTCCCATTTGTTAAAAATTCTTCTTATAAATTTAAGAACTTTTTCTGTAAAGTTACTTTTTTGGAGCTCTGATGGTTTGTTCCAACAGCGATGATGTATAGGTAAGTTATATTATATAATTATAATATTGCACATATGTATTGTATACGAAGTAACTATGTAATAATAATGTTTCATATCTATTACATGTGTCTGAGTTCCTATATGTAATAATCATTTTCTAAGCCTAAATCCAGTCTTAACTAAAAGTTAGTAAAGTTTTCAGTGAAGTTTTTTGAAGCACTTTACAGAAACTGATCCCTTTGCAGATGTTACAGTACAGATCACAGAACATTCACAGGTTAGAACAATTATGACATTAAGGTACCTGAGAGTTTTCGTGTCTCTCCTGCTGGGCTTTCTCAGGCTTTAAGGGTGAGAAGGATTACTGGAGGAGCGGGAGAACCATCTGTGTGAAGACTCATGAGAGCGGTCAGAGGGAGATAGAGATGTTCGACTCGGCCATCCTGCTGATCCGTAACCCGTACCGCTGCCTGGTGGCCGAGTTCAACCGCAAGTGCGCCGGACACCTGGGCTACGCGCCGGACACACACTGGAAGAGTAACGGTACTCGTTAACCAAAACACCGCTTAATGATTTTAGAGGTTACTAAAGTTTATATTAGCAGAGAACCACAATCATCACAGCCTATTATCTTGATTGCTATAATTATTCAGCACATCACAATGTGAAGAAAAAAAAAATACATAATGGACTAAAAAAAACATCCCCATTTGGATTACAATGAACCAAATGTCAGCATGGTCAACACTTACTAACTGGTCTTTGAAATACTATTAAAAACTTATTTATTAGTCATCATCATTAACACGGCATATGATTTATTACTGCAAGAGAAACAGTAGTTTTAATAATTTAATAATTTATTAATTGTTTTAATGTATTTACTGACTTACATTTTTACATATCCATATAAACCTTAATTGAAACTCTTCAAATATTGCAAAATAAAAGTCATTTTAACATCAATTCTTCACATTGCTCATGTGAAGCAATGTACATGTTTCTGCATTAACATATCAATTTAATGTATAAAAGATTAATTGGAAGAAAAATCTAATAATTTATCTGTCCTTGAGTTTGCAACTTATTTAGCATTAAAAATTACGAAACATTAAAGGGGAATCCTAACACTTTTTTATTCTAACTTTTTTCTAACTCCTAACTTTTTTATTCTATACCATTAAATTGCTAAAATGTAAAAAAAGTCTTTCAGAGTGGTTTGATGTGAAATCATTCTGCAAAAACTTGCCGAGTCAGAACTGTTCACAGTGGTGGTGATAGGAACCAGACATCTGAAAGAGTTTATTTCCTTTAAAAGCTCCATTACATAAAGTTATTACATTAAATGGTTACATTTGGTGACAAAATGGTTACAAAATTTGCCCTAAAACTTCTATTCATGGCAGAGAGGTACATGCAAGGAGTTATAAGGCTACATAGTCACAAAAGAAAACTTGTTTACCACTATTTTGCCATCATCGACATGGTAATAAAAAACTCAGAGGACATGTGTAGGTTTACTGGTCATTTTGGATAGTAAGTAATGTGGCTATATTCGCTTTATGACTACATTACACATTGTGACACCTGGCTCCTATGAGCACCACTGAAATCCAAGTTTCTCTACAAGACACAGTTTCACATCAAACCACTCTGAATGACTTAGTTTACATCTAAATGATTACATTTTTTGAAAAATCTGTGGAATTCTCCTCAACCCCTTAAAATCTCAGGCTTATTACATACTGAGGCTTATTATTAAGTAACTGCAGGGACTTCAATGTAAACTAGATGAGCTATTCTTGTGTTAAGAAGTGTGTAATAAAACGTTGGGCCTGCCGGTGGGCCCTGGCCATCTAAGGTGGTAAGGTTTACTTTTTTCAGCATTGATAACTTCTTGTTTTCCCAGGGCCACCCCATTTAAAACTAAAATTTTGGAATATTCATAGAAAAGTTATTTCCTGCTGAAGAACTGTCAACAGAAAGTCTGTCCTTAACAGGAATGTGGTGGCCAGTTTAACCTGAAATATTCCACTTTTCTGTCTGTCATAGCTTCAGTATAATTTTACTTTGGCACAAAAAATAAAAATCTTAAAAATATTAAAATGGGAAAATCTTTTTTTTGGTAAAAGTAATTCCTGGAAAGTCCTGGAGTCAAAATATCAAGCTCTTATGGAATGATTCTTACACGTTAATTGGTTTGTCAAAAACTACTGGGCCCTCAGCCTACAGGTAGTCCCAACTTTACTTCGTCAGTTTTGCACTGGAGCAACAAGGCAAAGCTTGGAAGCCACTAATTAGCATTGTGCTAATCATCTCACACACAGAGTAAGTGGTGTTGCACCGATACTGATACTGTATTGGTATTGTCACCAATGCTGGCACTTACATACAACATCTGTATCGGCAACACTGATACCATGAAGCTTTTTCAGACATTTCCCTGCACGCTACTGAATCTAGCTTCTAGCATTCGTGCCACTAGATGGAGCTAACATGAAGCTACCAACATGTCAGTGTTGTGGATTATATGACACTTAAAAGAAGCAGTTACTAAAAATGCTTATGTGAAATCTGTAATGCCAGTATTTCCAGTGATGGCATGACTAACTAGCATTTCAATACATCAAATTCTATAAAGCATTTAAAGATAAACCATGCCAAAGAGCATAGCGACTTTTCAAAGCTCTGAAACCATCCTAATGTGAGGTTATCCAACCAGTAAGTGCCATTATTTCTGACACAAAACAGTGCTTTTACCAGAATAAAATATTTAAAGAGGGGAATAGTATAAACATCAGGATTTATAGGCACCTATTGTGTAGTTACGTTAGATCAGTATCAGCAGATACTAGAAGATTAGATATTGTATTGAAAGAGAAAGTTGTATCGGTGCATCCCTAGTAGTCATTAATCTAAAATAAGCTTTTTTCTGTGATTTGTGACTAAATAGTATATAGAATTATATAAATTATGTAGCTTTGCTCTCATGATTCTTGTGTGCTTTTGTTTACCAACCTTACTGTCCCATTCCTTTCACCTCGTCTTCAGAGTGGCCTGAGTTTGTGGACAGCTACGCCTCTTGGTGGGCGTCGCACGCCCTGTCCTGGCTGAAGTTCTCCAGCCGGCTGCTGGTGGTGCATTACGAGGCGCTCCAGACGGACCTCCTGCCCCAGCTGAAGCTCATCACAACCTTCCTGAACGCCAGCGTCCCCGACCAGAGGCTGCTGTGTGCCGAGAGCAACCGCGACGGCCACTTCAAACGGCCCGGATCCCGCGGCCTGACCTTTGACCCCTTCACATTGGACATGAGGACTCGAATAGACGGCTACATTCTCTCGGTGGACCGGGCACTCAGGGACAGGAATCTGAGCGGCCTGCCCCAGGAGTACATGCCCAGATAATGAGGCGAGAAAGGACGAAAGGATAAAAAGAAAAACGAAAAAGAAAAAAGTGCCTGTAAACCGAAGCTTGACTGACAGCTCTTCTTGTGGCCTTCAGGAGGTTTATTTATTTGGCAGTTCATTATCAGGCTGGCACTTCTTTGCTTCTCTTTCTGTTCGTTTCCTCAGAGATCCGCCTGTCAGCCGAACAAAAGGCGACTCAATTTGTGGTTTGTACAGATTAAAATCCCGCTGCCGAACCGCCTGCCTGTGAGAACTTGAAGTTTTCAGATTGATCGTAATTTTACTTTTAAATAGACCGAAGCTCACTTATGCACCCTGTAACCCTCTCGCATCAAAATGCCAAGAGTTTTTTGAAACGTCCTCATGCATATTCTATTTGCACTTCAAATCTCAGGGTCAAAGCGTTCCTGCAAATGCAAGCAAGCAGCACACGTGAACGCATGCGCCATAATTACAGCATGAAGGCAACCCGTGCTCATGTGTAGCCGAAGACAAGAGCCTAATTTGGCTTGTTTCCACCATTTAACAGGCAGAATCGAAGAAGGTTTAAAACATTTTTCTGTTTTACAGTTATAACATCTCTAATGAATCCTACGCATGACAAGTGGAGCGCTCACACATGCGATTTCCCTGGTGTGTTACCGTATGAGGTGCAAATTGCCCTTGGGCTTCATTTTAATTGGTTAAAAGCAAGCCTTTAACAAATGGCAGATGCTCAGTTCTGGAGATATTCACCTTTAAATTGTCATTTGAAATCACCTGCTCGAACACAGCAAGCCAGAACCACAGTGGGCAGCAAAGGGAATTAACAGACCACAATCCTGAACAAAAAGCGTCCCATCCTGGCATCTGTTTAAGCAGATAAACAACATTCGGAATAGTAGAGAAATTCAAAGGGATAATTAGAAAGGAAAGAACACAAAAGAACCCATCAAAAGTCAGCCGTTCGGTATCTGCCTGGCAATAAAAAATGATAGGATGAGCACAGTGTTCCCGAAGCATTTGGAACATCAAACCGTGTAATTTGAAAAGCTTTTTTTCCCCCATTTGTCAGGTTGTTTCAAATGTGATTTCGGGATGCAATCATTAGATGAAATGAAAAAAAGACTGATTGCAGGATTACATTATGATTGTAATTAGTTATGCTCTTAACTCATTATAATTGTGCATCCACCGAACAGAGCGTTTCAATTTAAGGTACTTTCAAAAACACCCACTAATCCACACATACATATGGGAGCGCGGGGCACAAAGTAACGAGGGGGAAAATGTAACATGGATATTTTATGTAGTTAAACAGGTTGAAGTAGAACATGCTTTTGGTTATCCTCTCATAATCCCATTGCAATGGCGTCTGCCAATTTTGACAGCAGCCGGATGGATATTTCTCAAGATTTACAATGTTTTGTATCATAAAATTAACTATTTTTATCATAATTTTCAGTTGCTGAGTTGTCTGTATAAGACACACCTACATTTCTTTAACCTCCATCTTGGTGGTGTGATACTGTGATATAGCACCATCACATGTAAACGGCTCGTCAGGCTAAAGTACAGCCTCCGCATGGTGGAGGTAGTTTTAGCACTATGTTATGACAAAGCCCTCCACATTCCAGCACTCGCAGGCCAAAACACTGCTGATTTTAACACACTGCCTCATTAAACACATCTGATTTAGCTCATGAGCTAATTAGCAAGGCTTTCATGAACTGAATTCAGAGTGTTAAATGAAGGTAAACGTTCATCTCTGCAGCACTTTGGCCCAGAAGGTCCCTAGTATGACATGCCTGTTCTATAGCAAACTGACATATCACCAACACCGATCAGGCATAACATTATGACCACCTCCTTGTTTCTACGCTCATTGTCCATTTTATCAGCTCCACTTACTATATAGGGGCACTTTGTAGTTCTACAGTTACAGACTGTAGTCCATCTGTTTCTCTGCATACTTTGTTAGCCCCCTTTTACCCTGTTCTTCAGTGGTCAGGACCCCCATGGACCCTCACAGAGCAGGTACTATTTGGGTGGTGGATCATTCTCAGCATTGCAGTAACACTGACGTGGTGGTGGTGTGTTAGTGTGTGTTGTGCGGGTACGAGTGGATCAGACACAGCAGTGCTGCTGGAGTTTTGAAACACTGTGTCCACTCACTGTCCACTCTATTAGACACTCCTACCTTGTCAGTCCACCTTGTAGATGTAAAGTCAGAGACGATAGCTCATCTGCTGCTGCACAGTTTGTGTTGGTCATCCTCTAGTCCTTCATCAGTGGTCACAGGACGCTGCCCACAGGACGCTGTTGGCAGGCCTTAGCTGAAAGGCTAGGGAATCACGGCAACTGCATTACAGCGGCTGTTTTTTAGTTTATCTAGGTGCGTCCTAGTTTGTTCATGCCTGCAAAGAACCATGAAGTGTTAGCTTTCTTCGCTAATGAACTCTCTGTTTTTAATAGGAGCAACAAGCAGAAGCAGAGTCCCGGATTCCCCCACTGAGATAAGAAAATACCTTCAAAATCGTTCGTTATGCAGCTTCAGCTCATCTCAACTCCTCATGTTGTTGTCTTTGAATGGGGTGAACCCAATGTTTGCATCGTTTAGTAGCAGCGCTTAAAAGAAAAATGATGCATTCATCATTGCTGATACTCAAGGAATCCATTTCTTTTTCCCACTGCATTAAAAATCGCACCTGTTTTTCTGTCCGAAAAAATCGAGTTTGGTGTGAATAGGCCTCGACTCTGTCAGTACAGTGTCATGACATTGCCAGAGTGGTTCATAAAGATCTTATAAGCATAAATATGAGACTCATTTTACTTAAAGGCCAGAGAAAATACAAACAATTCTGCCATAACAGAGTATCAGAATCAAAAGCTTCATAATAGATCCACATTACAGTAGATTGTCATTTCAGTGTTACCACAAAGTGTCAAAGCATCTTCTTAGAAGTACTCACCTTTGATTTTGCAGCCTTGCTTGTCAAGTGATGTGACATAATCACCATTATGTGTCTGACGTACTAAAAATACACTGAGCTACAAAGTCAGCTGTCTTAAAGGTGCAGTGTGAAAGATTTAGGGGGATATAGTAGCAGAAATGGAACACAGTATACAAAACTGTTTTAATTAGTGTTTATACAACAGTTAGTTCCGACCACGCAAGCTGATTGGTTGAGAAGCGTTCTAACCGTGCTGTTATTTCACCATAACATCAAGGGGTTTTCACAAACTCCGCTGAGACGCCGTTGCTAAGCAACGACTTTGACAGCTGTAGGAGACGCTCAAGCCATTTGAACGTTTTTACTTCTTACTTTGCCACAAACAGAAAATGGATACTTTTAAGATCACATCTGACCGATTTGGTCAGACTCTGAAGAAGAGACTACACTAGATTCCCAAACTGTCATTTGGTTTGTGTGGAGCTGGAGAACAAACTGCCGGTTGTGCAGCGAGTGAGTGGAGTTCGTTACTTTGACGACGCAACAAGCTGCTTGTTAAGCAACTATAATTTGGCGGAAGGAACTGCGAACATTAAAACATATTAAAACATTAAAATATCATGGCTGTGATGATCTACGGCGACCAAATCACAGCCATGATGTTATTTCGCGATAACACACTCCCTCTCATGTTCTGTTGCTTAAATAATCACCTAGGCGACACGGTGGCCTCCGTCACACTGTCGCCTCACAGCAAGAAGGGCCTGTGTTCGATCCCCCAGCCGGGCAACCAGGGTCCTTTCTGTGTGGAGTTTGCATGTTCTTCCCGTGTCTGCATGGGTTTCCTCTGGTCTCCTCCCACAGTCCAAAGACATGCAGTCAGGCATATTGGAGATGCTAAATTGGCCCTAGGTGTGAGTGTGTCTGTGTACCTGCCCTGTGATGGACTGGCGACCTGTCCAGGGTGTTTCCTGCCTTCTGCCCAGTGAGCGCTCCAGGAAGGAAGGAAGCAGGTCCCCTTCCAGCAGAGGCCGCCATGTTCAACTGCCATGTTTCTGCAGTAGCCCTGAATGGACAAACCAAACACTGGCTCTAGAGAGAACCTTTCGTGTGTTTACGTTACAGTGGCAGCTTTAAGTTGGTGACGCTATAGCTCTAGTTGGAAGGCGTAGACAGAAGAAGAATCAGTCATCACTGCTGGTGCTGGCTAACCATTTTGTGTTGTTAGAAGGTTGAGAACCCAAATTTCAGCAAATGGAAGATCATCAATATCAATATTCAATCAAATCAATATTTAGCACAAGAAAAAATAAGGGAGAGTCGTCATGGAAGCGAAAACATGAAGAAGCAAAATGAAATCAGGACAGGCGACGGCAGAAAACCTGACGGCCATCGTAGGTTCTGCTACACGCTTGGAAAGAGAGGGGCGAGGAAGAGGGATTCAGTTGGTTGCAATCTGCAAACTCACCACTAGATGCCACTAAATCTGACACGCCTTTAAAGTGCTGCCATTTCACCCCAGAAAATGTTAGTAGAACAACTAATGTCAGCAAAAAGCTGTTACTTGACACGAGTGTTGAGTCAACTTGACACTGAAGTTTACACAAGCAGCCTTTATGAAATCCTCTGATTGGAATAAGCCTTTATAAATGTTTGTGTAGGTTTATGTCAGCTGTCATGAAAGTCTTCTATAATTGTCATGTAGTCTAATGAACTGACCTACAGTGAAGTGTTACCAGCATGTTTTCCTGCTTTTTTCTGGCACTGAAAAATTAACACCTTATACTTTGTGACCATTTTGATGGGATATTAAATAAATATAAGGGAGGTTTCTGACTACAGCACAGTACTGTATCTACACAGGCGGACACGTACACACACGTTCACTCTCTCACACACGGGGGCGGATTTAGTGATTGTTTACTGAATGCACATTTTTAAATTAGTGATGCAACTGCAAAAAATACACTGCAAAACATATTAAGTGACATCTTAAATCTAGTCTGTATATCTAATATTTTACATTTCGAGATTGCTGTAAGAATACTGTAGGATTGCACAGCTTATTTCTAGAAGTGTTTAAATGAAACTCTCTCTTTATATTGGCAGATCATTTTGCTTGCTTTAAGAAAAAATGCTTGAAACAAGCAAAAGTATCTGCCAGTATAGTAAAATAAGGAGTAATCAGATTAGTTTACTGGTGTAACTAATTACTTCTCTCAGATTATAATATCTATAAACTATCTATAATAAACTTAATGTGAGCATTATGTACTGCTGAGCCTGAGCAGCGCTCTGTTCTGACCGA